TCTAGAATATATTTTTGACTTTTCCCTTTAAACTTGTATTTTATTTTTTAAGAAAAAGCTTACAATTTGTAGACAGAACTCTTTTTTGGCTTGTCACCTTTACCAGTAAGGAGTGAAGTAGTAAATAATCTTTTGGCACGTATAAACCTTTTAAAATTGTTTTAATGTATCCTGCCAGGAGATGTTCCGAGAAAATACACTGTAAGAATTAGGTACCATTTTAAATAAAGAGAAAGGCATTTTCCCTCACTTGCCTTGTGGACAGCCATTGTGCCATTATTGCAATTTTCTACATTCTACTCTTATTATTATTGCCATTTATATAGCGCCAACAGATTCCGTAGCGCTTACTCTTACAAGATGCTCTGCTCCTTACATACCTAAAATATATATTTTACTTATGTCTTTTATTTTGATGGATGGGGGAGATATCACATAATACTTTTTTTGTGGTTCTGTATAGAATTGGAAAATATTAGTGTTTTGTAATATATTTTTAGTGTATATGCTTCATTATGTTTACTTTAACATTTTCTAAATCTAAAGCATTTTTAGGTTAGCACTACACTACATAATTGGAAGTTTATATCTGATGTTATCAAATGGACTTGATGATAGATAAAGGAATGTTCACACTATTCTTCTTAGTCTCGCAGTTCAATTGAAATCTAGTAAGAGGTGTTTCTTATGCAGAGATAATAAGAGTGGTGGGCCTTGTATAGGTAATGAATAAATGAATCAAAGGGACAGTTAAGGGGATAACCCTATATGGATAAATACAGAGAAAAGAGAGAATAGTACTGTCCCCGTTCAATATCAGAAATGGTCTCAGAAATTAGTGGATTAAAAAGATCTTTTATTAATTGAATTCTCAACACACGCACTGATAACAGTAAAATCAGTGGTCATCGCTGCCCCAGTGATGGATAACTGAGGCAGAAACAAATGACTCAAACTAATAAGTACTAAGTGAGGACTATATACAGACGGGAAGTCAAAAGACAGAGAGTATATACAAAAAGAAAAGACTGGAGCACAGGTTACTGCGAACAGTGTAGTAGATAGCTCCCGAAGCAAGATTGCTATATGCACTATGTAATGAGTATAGACCTGAAAGTGACAGAGTAACTTATTGTCGGTTACTGGTGTTAAACATGATCTACACGCATTGATACAATATGTGCAGCACACCTTGGAGTTTCAAAGGAGTGTCTAATGGTTAAATGGAGTGGCTAGTTATTACACTGTATCTCTGCCGTCTCGTTCTATCTACGGTACTTGCACAAGACACCGAAAACCGGTGTAGTGAATGGGACCCAAGGCAAGGTTCACTTTGTAATCTGTATAGACCAGATAGACACAGGGTAAATTATTGTCAGTTACCGGTGTTAGTCATGATCTAAGCGCCATGGTCCAATAGGTGCAACACACCATAGAAAAAGGGGGGTGGCTAGAATAGCTGATTAATGCAATAAATTAGTGCCGTGTCGTAATGTCAGCGACCCACCCGGACATTAAAAGTAACGAGTAGGGGTTTAATACGGCAGTCCGATACGTGCAGTCCACCAATATAATGCCCCAAAGAGAGGGGGGCTATTGTGGTCTGCTATTTAGTACCGGAGAGGTATATAAGAAAACAGATAGGTGCCCCATACAGACAAACAAATACATGTGAACAGACTAGTCCAAGCCTAGCAGAATCTCCCAGTTGGATGTGGGATGTCTGGATAGCACAATTACTACAATACAAAAGTAGTGTCCTTTGGTTAACAGGTATAAAGATAGTAAATGTAGACCCTAAGCTGTGCCTTCGAGGGCACCTATGTCTAATAAGAGGGTCTAAAATAACTATCTCGTAACTATCTATAAACGGAGCAGAAAGTGCCCTAATCTGTGCCTTCGAGGGCACCTGTCGGTAGTGCTAATAGTACTAGGCTAGGCTAGGTCTGTAGAGAGTCTAAATCTTAATGGACTGTAGTCTGATGATCCAGCTGCAGTCTAATAGGTCCAAGAATCCTAGGTGTACCGGAGGCGGCTAAGGGTAAGGTAGCACACCAAATATCGTCAGATCACACCTAATCGGATCAGTGTCTAGAGCCCCGACGCGCGTTTCACCAAACACACAGGCTCATCAGGGGGAACTGACTCCCCGAACAGGTTGAGCTTAAAAAGGCCCGCCCTGTGTCCTCATTGGACAATTCGCTGGTATGATGTCATCAATAACATTTCGAAGGTACGGTGGCTCGGCATGATCAAAATTAGCGAAAGGTAAAAACGCCTGTGTATTAGGTCAGCCGGAATGATTTTGTAGGATCTATGTCTAGAGCTCCATGCGTGTCAGTATCCAGAAGAGAGTGGATGAGGGTGGTATTATGGATGTTGGCATCCAGATGAGGGTGCCAGACAGCGAATGGAATACCCAGTGAGGGTACCTAATCAAATGTTATGATATTGGAATATAATGTACCAAGGGTATTAGCCAGCGGTAGATGATATGTCATGTATCTGGACATACCAATATGCATGTGAAGAAGAATGTTCTGTTGGCTAGAACTGTTGAGATGTTAGTATTAATCGCGGCACCGAAGGGTGCTGGTTAGTTAGATATAATATGAGAAAGAATATGAGAAGAAAAAAATCAATAAATAATATATATATATATTGTGCTCTTTAGTGAATGAATGCTGTATAATTAAATTCTTCATTCAATCCTAAGGGGGCCAGTGTCTTAAAGAGATAAATCCATTTGGATTCTTTTTGTAGTAGGGTTTTGTTAAAGTTTCCTTTTCTTTGATTGGGTATTAGTCTTTCAATTGCCTGGAATTTGAGGTTTTCTGATTTTCCTTCATGAAAGTTGTTAATATGTCTGGACACCGGTGTTGGAGTCACAGTGTTATTAATGGAATTGACATGTTGGAGGATTCTTCTGCGAAACTGTTGGAAAGTCTTGCCAATGTATTGGGTGCCGCAAGTACATGTGATTATATAGATAATACGTGTGGTACTGCAATTCACCAGTGCATTGGTAGTGATGGTCATTTTAGATTGTGTAGACTGGACGGTTTTTGAAGGTATGATATACTGGCATGCCTTACAGTGGCCACACCTGTAAGTTCCCTTGGTCTTTGATAGCCAGTTTTCAGGTGAGGGAGGTGAGGCCAGGTGGCTATGGACCAAGAGGTCTTGTAAGTTGGTGGGTCTACGGGCTGTCAGCGGTGGGTTATCCGGTAGGCAGTTCTTCAGGGAAGGATTGTGAAGTAGAATTGGCCAATTAGTTCGTAATATATGCGACATGGTATTCCAACCTTGGTCGAATGTGGCGATACACCTGGGTGTCTTTGTTACCATTTTAGGTTTGGTCATGGTCAGGCTCAGTTGTCTATTGATGCCACTGGCCCTTTGGAAAGCTTGTTTAAGGACCCGATTGGGGTAACCTAATTCTTTAAATCTGGATCTCAGGAATTGGCATTCGTTATAGAAAGTGTTATCTTCGGAACAATTTCTTCTGGCGCGTAAGTATTGGCCAAAGGGGATAGAAGCTTTTAATCTGTAGGGGTGGTGGCTCTCCCAATGTAGGAGACTATTTGTAGCAGTAGATTTCCGAAATAATTCGGTTTGGATGGTACCGTCTTCTGTAAGTACAATTTTTAGATCCAGAAAGACGAGTTCGCGTTCATCGATTACGTGTGTTAGTTTTAAGTTAATCTCATTGTCGTTGAGGGTCTGCACAAATTCCTCAAAGATGTGAATGGGGCCTGTCCAGAGGAGCAGCACGTCGTCAATGTATCTATGCCAGCTCAAAATAAAACCGTGAAATCGGTCAAATTTGGCTGATTTGACGACATGCTGCTCCCACCATCCCAGAAATAGGTTGGCGTATGTGGGCGCGCAAGTTGTCCCCATAGCTGTCCCAGAGATTTGCAGGTAGTATTGGCCGTTGAAGATAAAATAGTTGTGGGTCAATATGAATTGGAGGGCTGTAATGAAAAATTTATTTTGTGAGTCATTATATGTGGTATTTTCCAAGAAGAATTGGCATGCTCTGAGGCCGAAGTGGTGAGGTATGTTGGTGTACAGGGCGACCACATCTAAGCTAGCTAGCATAGTGTAGGGGGGAACAGTTTTGTCATGTAGGAGTTGTAGGGTAGTCTTAGTGTCCCGAAGATAGGAGGGTAGCGTTAATACAATTGGATGTAAGATTTTATCCATGTATTGGCTAAGACGTTCTGTTAGGCAGTTGTTCCCTGATACTATGGGTCTGCCCGGGGGTGGTCGAATTCCCTTATGTACTTTTGGTAAGCAATAGAATGTTGCAATTGTTGGGTTGTTATGAGGTAGTAGAAATTTAAATTCCTCTGGGGTTATGATCTGAAGTGTCTTTGCTTCAGTTAATAAGGTGTCTAATTCATTAAGGAATGAAGTGGTTGGGTCCGAAGGAAGAGTTCTGTAGGATAATTTGTCATCTAAGTGGTTCATGCACATGTTGATGTATTCTTGTCTGTTCAGTAAGACGATGTTTCCCCCCTTGTCCGCCGGTTTTATAATAATGTCGTCCAGTGATTTGAGTTCTTTTAATGCTATGCGTTCCTGTGGGCTCAAATTGTTTGGAGTTTGGGGGCGATGTGGGATCATTTCAAATTGGTTTAGAGACATTTCCACGAATAGATCTACATGAGGAGTGTCTTTGAAGTTAGGGGTGAAATAACTGGGCGGTTTGAAATTGGTGAGAGGTCTACGAGGATCCTGCTCATCTTGGAGACTAGTTAATATTTTTGATAGTTCATAGTCCTTTAGGGAGAGACCCAAATCATTCGCTGCCTGTTGGTCTTTTTTAGTGTGCATGATATTTAAGGCGAGTTTCCTGCCAAATAGATGTATATCTTTAGACCAATTAAATTTACTACAGGTAGGAGTGGGTACAAAGGAAAGTCCTTTGCTGAGGAGGGAAATGTGACGTGTTTGTAATATAAAGTCTGACCAGTTAATAATTCTGTTATAGGTCATGTCCTTTGTGTTCGATTCTGTATTTTGTATGCCCAACGTTCCCTGTCCCTGAGTCTCCCCCGTTGCTGGCGGGGAGAGTCCTGCTCTAAAAAAGTGGCCGAGGATGTGGTGGACGGGGTGGTGGGGTTAATAGTTTCGAGAGATATCGGAATGTCAAGAAAGGATACAGATTTGTCAGTACCTCTAAGAATGCTTTTATTTTGATAGGGTGGGACGCTGAGGTCCCTTTTCCTGTCGAAGCTTTTATTGTTACGTCTGGGTCTCCGAGGTTGGTCTTGGTCAGACCAGTCAGTCTCACCCGAGGATGACCCTCTATAACTGTTGGGTCTCCTGTTAAACTTTCTCTTTTGCCTAAAGATCTCGCCGCTATTGAAATCTTTAAAGTCCCTTTGGAATTTATTGTGTTTTTTTATCTTAAGGTGTTGTCTGTAATTAGTAATGTTTTGCTGTAGTTTGTTTTCCATTGGGACATACAGGTTGTCAGATTTGAAGTTTTTTATTTTTGTGATTTCATTTTGCAGTTTAGAATTAGTTTCATCAAAGTTGGTGGTTTCTAATTTAATTAAATAGTCCATCAGCCGGAAGGAACAATCCAAAAGGATCGTGTTCCATTCCCCAAGCTGTTCTTCGGTCTGGACTTTGTCTGGCAAGAGAATATCGGGGCGTAAGCCCCTAGGTACTAGTTTTTGCTGTGAGTACTGTTTTAGACTGGTTAGTTCCCAGAAGCTCCTAGTTTGTTCTTGATAGAGTTTTTGGATGGCAAAGAAAGAAATGTTAATATCGTTATTTGTAGTGTCGTTATTGGTAAGAGGATTGGTAGAAAAGACATTGGTTATCTCATCCTGGCCTAAATTGGGATCACCCAATTTTTCCAACAGGTCAGACATGAGAGGCGAGCACAGTGTGAGTTGGGGAAATAGCCGTTGTGTAGAGAGCCTCAGGAGATACTAGAGTATGGGCTCGTATTTCCCGGAGGGGGGCCAGAGTAGGTACTAAAACCTTGAAAATGAATAGATAATAAGAGTGGTGGGCCTTGTATAGGTAATGAATAAATGAATCAAAGGGACAGTTAAGGGGATAACCCTATAAGGATAAATACAGAGAAAAGAGAGAACAGTACTGTCCCCGTTCAATATCAGAAATGGTCTCAGAAATTAGTGGATTAAAAAGATCTTTTATTAATTGAATTCTCAACACACGCACTGATAACAGTAAAATCAGTGGTCATCGCTGCCCCAGTGATGGATAACTGAGGCAGAAACAAATGACTCAAACTAATAAGTACTAAGTGAGGACTATATACAGACGGGAAGTGAAAAGGACAGAGAGTATATACAAAAAGAAAAGACTGGAGCACAGGTTACTGCGAACAGTGTAGTAGATAGCTCCCGAAGCAAGATTGCTATATGCACTATATGCACATGTAATGAGTATAGACCTGAAAGTGACAGAGTAACTTATTGTCGGTTACTGGTGTTAAACATGATCTACACGCATTGATACAATATGTGCAGCACACCTTGGAGTTTCAAAGGAGTGTCTAATGGTTAAATGGAGTGGCTAGTTATTACACTGTATCTCTGCCGTCTCGTTCTATCTACGGTACTTGCACAAGACACCGAAAACCGGTGTAGTGAATGGGACCCAAGGCAAGGTTCACTTTGTAATCTGTATAGACCAGATAGACACAGGGTAAATTATTGTCAGTTACCGGTGTTAGTCATGATCTAAGCGCCATGGTCCAATAGGTGCAACACACCATAGAAAAAGGGGGGTGGCTAGAATAGCTGATTAATGCAATAAATTAGTGCCGTGTCGTAATGTCAGCGACCCACCCGGACATTAAAAGTAACGAGTAGGGGTTTAATACGGCAGTCCGATACGTGCAGTCCACCAATGTAATGCCCCAAAGAGAGGGGGGCTATTGTGGTCTGCTATTTAGTACCGGAGAGGTATATAAGAAAACAGATAGGTGCCCCATACAGACAAACAAATACATGTGAACAGACTAGTCCAAGCCTAGCAGAATCTCCCGGTTGGATGTGGGATGTCTGGATAGCACAATTACTACAATACAAAAGTAGTGTCCTTTGGTTAACAGGTATAAAGATAGTAAATGTAGACCCTAAGCTGTGCCTTCGAGGGCACCTATGTCTAATAAGAGGGTCTAAAATAACTATCTCGTAACTATCTATAAACGGAGCAGAAAGTGCCCTAATCTGTGCCTTCGAGGGCACCTGTCGGTAGTGCTAATAGTACTAGGCTAGGCTTGTTCCTTCCGGCTGATGGACTATTTAATTAAATTAGAAACCACCAACTTTGATGAAACTAATTCTAAACTGCAAAATGAAATCACAAAAATAAAAAACTTCAAATCTGACAACCTGTATGTCCCAATGGAAAACAAACTACAGCAAAACATTACTAATTACAGACAACACCTTAAGATAAAAAAACACAATAAATTCCAAAGGGACTTTAAAGATTTCAATAGCGGCGAGATCTTTAGGCAAAAGAGAAAGTTTAACAGGAGACCCAACAGTTATAGAGGGTCATCCTCGGGTGAGACTGACTGGTCTGACCAAGACCAACCTCGGAGACCCAGACGTAACAATAAAAGCTTCGACAGGAAAAGGGACCTCAGCGTCCCACCCTATCAAAATAAAAGCATTCTTAGAGGTACTGACAAATCTGTATCCTTTCTTGACATTCCGATATCTCTCGAAACTATTAACCCCACCACCCCGTCCACCACATCCTCGGCCACTTTTTTAGAGCAGGACTCTCCCCGCCAGCAACGGGGGAGACTCAGGGACAGGGAACGTTGGGCATACAAAATACAGAATCGAACACAAAGGACATGACCTATAACAGAATTATTAACTGGTCAGACTTTATATTACAAACACGTCACATTTCCCTCCTCAGCAAAGGACTTTCCTTTGTACCCACTCCTACCTGTAGTAAATTTAATTGGTCTAAAGATATACATCTATTTGGCAGGAAACTCGCCTTAAATATCATGCACACTAAAAAAGACCAACAGGCAGCGAATGATTTGGGTCTCTCCCTAAAGGACTATGAACTATCAAAAATATTAACTAGTCTCCAAGATGAGCAGGATCCTCGTAGACCTCTCACCAATTTCAAACCGCCTAGTTATTTCACCCCTAACTTCAAAGACACTCCTCATGTAGATCTATTCGTGGAAATGTCTCTAAACCAATTTGAAATGATCCCACATCGCCCCCAAACTCCAAACAATTTGAGCCCACAGGAACGCATAGCATTAAAAGAACTCAAATCACTGGACGACATTATTATAAAACCGGCGGACAAGGGGGGAAACATCGTCTTACTGAACAGACAAGAATACATCAACATGTGCATGAACCACTTAGATGACAAATTATCCTACAGAACTCTTCCTTCGGACCCAACCACTTCATTCCTTAATGAATTAGACACCTTATTAACTGAAGCAAAGACACTTCAGATCATAACCCCAGAGGAATTTAAATTTCTACTACCTCATAACAACCCAACAATTGCAACATTCTATTGCTTACCAAAAGTACATAAGGGAATTCGACCACCCCCGGGCAGACCCATAGTATCAGGGAACAACTGCCTAACAGAACGTCTTAGCCAATACATGGATAAAATCTTACATCCAATTGTATTAACGCTACCCTCCTATCTTCGGGACACTAAGACTACCCTACAACTCCTACATGACAAAACTGTTCCCCCCTACACTATGCTAGCTAGCTTAGATGTGGTCGCCCTGTACACCAACATACCTCACCACTTCGGCCTCAGAGCATGCCAATTCTTCTTGGAAAATACCACATATAATGACTCACAAAATAAATTTTTCATTACAGCCCTCCAATTCATATTGACCCACAACTATTTTATCTTCAACGGCCAATACTACCTGCAAATCTCTGGGACAGCTATGGGGACAACTTGCGCGCCCACATACGCCAACCTATTTCTGGGATGGTGGGAGCAGCATGTCGTCAAATCAGCCAAATTTGACCGATTTCACGGTTTTATTTTGAGCTGGCATAGATACATTGACGACGTGCTGCTCCTCTGGACAGGCCCCATTCACATCTTTGAGGAATTTGTGCAGACCCTCAACGACAATGAGATTAACTTAAAACTAACACACGTAATCGATGAACGCGAACTCGTCTTTCTGGATCTAAAAATTGTACTTACAGAAGACGGTACCATCCAAACCGAATTATTTCGGAAATCTACTGCTACAAATAGTCTCCTACATTGGAAGAGCCACCACCCCTACAGATTAAAAGCTTCTATCCCCTTTGGCCAATACTTACGCGCCAGAAGAAATTGTTCCGAAGATAACACTTTCTATAACGAATGCCAATTCCTGAGATCCAGATTTAAAGAATTAGGTTACCCCAATCGGGTCCTTAAACAAGCTTTCCAAAGGGCCAGTGGCATCAATAGACAACTGAGCCTGACCATGACCAAACCTAAAATGGTAACAAAGACACCCAGGTGTATCGCCACATTCGACCAAGGTTGGAATACCATGTCGCATATATTACGAACTAATTGGCCAATTCTACTTCACAATCCTTCCCTGAAGAACTGCCTACCGGATCACCCACCGCTGACAGCCCGTAGACCCACCAACTTACAAGACCTCTTGGTCCATAGCCACCTGGCCTCACCTCCCTCACCTGAAAACTGGCTATCAAAGACCAAGGGAACTTACAGGTGTACCTTCAAAAACCGTCCAGTCTACACAATCTAAAATGACCATCACTACCAATGCACTGGTGAATTGCAGTACCACACGTATTATCTATATAATCACATGTACTTGCGGCACCCAATACATTGGCAAGACTTTCCAACAGTTTCGCAGAAGAATCCTCCAACATGTCAATTCCATTAATAACACTGTGACTCCAACACCGGTGTCCAGACATATTAACAACTTTCATGAAGGAAAATCAGAAAACCTTAAATTCCAGGCAATTGAAAGACTAATACCCAATCAAAGAAAAGGAAACTTTAACAAAACCCTACTACAAAAAGAATCCAAATGGATTTATCTCTTTAAGACACTGGCCCCCTTAGGATTGAATGAAGAATTTAATTATACAGCATTCATTCACTAAAGAGCACAATATATATATATATTATTTATTGATTTTTTTCTTCTCATATTCTTTCTCATATTATATCTAACTAACCAGCACCCTTCGGTGCCGCGATTAATACTAACATCTCAACAGTTCTAGCCAACAGAACATTCTTCTTCACATGCATATTGGTATGTCCAGATACATGACATATCATCTACCGCTGGCTAATACCCTTGGTACATTATATTCCAATATCATAACATTTGATTAGGTACCCTCACTGGGTATTCCATTCGCTGTCTGGCACCCTCATCTGGATGCCAACATCCATAATACCACCCTCATCCACTCTCTTCTGGATACTGACACGCATGGAGCTCTAGACATAGATCCTACAAAATCATTCCGGCTGACCTAATACACAGGCGTTTTTACCTTTCGCTAATTTTGATCATGCCGAGCCACCGTACCTTCGAAATGTTATTGATGACATCATACCAGCGAATTGTCCAATGAGGACACAGGGCGGGCCTTTTTAAGCTCAACCTGTTCGGGGAGTCAGTTCCCCCTGATGAGCCTGTGTGTTTGGTGAAACGCGCGTCGGGGCTCTAGACACTGATCCGATTAGGTGTGATCTGACGATATTTGGTGTGCTACCTTACCCTTAGCCGCCTCCGGTACACCTAGGATTCTTGGACCTATTAGACTGCAGCTGGATCATCAGACTACAGTCCATTAAGATTTAGACTCTCTAC